TCCTCCTCTTCCCCCTTTCCCCCACTTTGCGGTTTTCCTTCCTTTTAATTTTTCCTTTTATTCTTTTTATTAATTTAATTTTTTTTTCTTTTTTTTTTATTTTTATTTTTATTCCTTTTTTTTTACCTTTTTTTCCTTTTTCACTTTTTTTTTTTTTATTTTAAAAGTTTGATTATTTATAACTCCGAAAAAAAAAGTTTTCCCACGTTTAGTATTATTATTATTATTATTATTACTGAATTGATAGCTTTTTTCTTTTTTATTGTATCTTTTTTTTTTTTTTTTTTTGTTTAATGGAAAAAGTTGTCCAATAAATACGTTTAAGAAATCTGGAGGAAATACTCTCGTTTCTTTCTTTCCTTTTTTTTAAATTGAGCTTAAAAAATATTATTATTATTATTATTATTACTATTATTACTTTGTGGAGAGGGTTTTCTGTTTTAGGGAAGGGAAACAAATCTGTCGTCGCTTTTTTTTTTTTTTTTTTTAACGGATGATTTTTTAAAAAGTTAAATTGCAACATCAAAAACTTTGTCTAGTGACACGTCGAATCGTAATTCTTTTTTTTTTGTTTTTCCTTTCTTCCGTTGTTTAAAAAGGTTAAGAGGTCACGACGATTCGTAGTAATTTTTTTTTTTCTCTCTTCAATTTTGTAGGAAATTTTTTTTTTTTTGTTACTTTTCCTTCTCCGTCATTTTTTTATTATTTTATTTTATTCTTTCTTCTGCTTCCACTTTTTTTTTTTCGACTCGATTTCAAATCCAATTTTTATCTAAAAAGCTTTCTTATACTTTTCATATATTTTTTTTTTTTTATTTGAAAAAAATTTTAAATCATTTCCTTTTATTCGAGTTTATTTCCGTTTCCCCTCTTTTTTCTCCCCCGTATTTTCTCCCCTTAAACCTTTACCATTATTTTAAGCTTATTATTATTATTATTATTATTATTATTATTATTATATTTTATGATTTTTGACGTTTTCCGAAACGGCGAATCCATTACTTATGTGCGTTCTTGCGTGGTTTTGGCGGGAAAAAAGTCAGTAGCGATGATTTATTTTTTTTTATCTTTCCAGAAACTGCCAAATTTGATTCATCGATATGGGTTGCTTCGGAAGCAAAGACAAACTATCAAAAGAGGATATGGATTTTCTTAAATCTCACACGAGATACGATGAAGCAACCATCAAAGAATGGTACAAAGGTTTCAAGGTACGAAAGACCAAATCGTTTGTTTGTTTGTTTATGTCTGAAACAAACGAGTTAATTTTTTTTTTTTTTTTGGTTGATTTTACAGCAAGATTGTCCAAATGGCAGATTGACTCCGGCCAAATTCGTCGACATGTATAAAATGTTTTTCCCAAGCGGAAACGCCGAAGAATTCTGTGATCACGTTTTCCGTACATTTGATATGGATAAAAACGGATACATCGATTTCAAGGTGAGTCAACAAAAAGTTAGGGAAGATAAGAGTAAAATTTCACCTTTCGTTTTAATTTTCGATTCGATTCATTCATCGATGAATCGATCGATCGATCGATCAATCGATCAATCAATCAAATTAATAAAGATGGGAGGTGGTGAGTTTTTTTTTTTTTGTCGGTTAATTATGAAGGGAGAAAAAAAAAAAAACGTCGAGTGCCGTCATTTATCGACGTTCCGAACCCCCATTGAAAAATAATAATTGATCATTTATTTATTTTGATTGTTTGATTGTTTGTTTGTTTGTTTGTTCTCGATAATGACGTGGCAAGAGGAGAGTATTTGACATTCGTAAAGCGAAATTTTTTTTTTTCCCCGTTTCGATTTTTCCGAGACGAATATTTTTATTATTATTATTATTAATATTTTTTTTTGTTTTATCGTCAAGACGTTGCTCGTGTGACGTAACAAACAATCCGCCGTCGGGTCAATAGACTAATCAACAATATTGGTTTTCTTCTTAACTTCTTCTTCTCGAGTGTGATTGAACGAGTCTGTCAATTTTTTTTTTTTTTTTTTTAAAGGTGTCAGTTAAATATTTACTTTCGCGAAATTACTTTTTTATTTTCTCTCTTCCCCGCCCCGCCCGTCTTTCACCCTCTCCTCGTTTTTTTTCTTTCCTTTTATTTCTTCTTTCGTTCTTCCTCCCACTTCGCCACGTCGAATGCCAACACTGTCAATATTTTGAAAGGATTCGAGAGCGGGAAAAAAAAGGAAATGTTTGAATTGTCGGTTTATAGAAATCGATGGATTGTAATGACGTCATCCATTATTTTTTTTCCCGACTCGAGTAATAAATATTTTATTAATTATTAATTACCAAGATGGTGTTGGGAAAAAAAGAAAGATGGTGACACGTTATTATTAAATTAAGAGGGATAAAACGAATAAAAAAAATTTCTGGGAAAAAAAAAATTTTCTGGAACGTTTTTTTTTTTTTTTTTTTTTTTTTTTAAATTTTATGCGATTTCGTCTGACCCCCCTTTTTTTTTTTTTTCTTTGTTCGAATTATCTTTCCGGCTCGTGACGAAAATGAAATTTATTACTTTTTTTTTTTTTTTGAAAGGTTTTAACGTACCTTTTCCCCCCTTCTTCTCTCCCTTCCTTGAGTTCCTTTTCCGCTCCTCGAATTTTCTTCTTCTTTTTCGAAAGGGTAAATTTTTTTTTTTTAAATTTTAATTTTGATGACGTTGTTAGATGTGAAAAAAGTTTTTTTTTTTTTTCGTTTAGTTGGCAGCCCTCGTTTTCTAAGGTGACGTCGTCGGTGGCGGCGGATTTTGCCAAAAAAAAAATTTTTTTTCCCTTTTTGGAAAATCTTCGAGTTTAAGTTTTTCAAAAAGTTTTCCTCGTCTTCCGTTTAGTAGAAAATTTACGATTTTTTTTGTAAATGTGATCTCTTATTATTTTTATTATTATTATTATTATTATTATTATTATTGTTGTTGTTGTTGTTATTGTAAAAAAAAAGCGGAAAAGGAAATGTTTTCCATTTTGATTTTTCATTCCTCCAAAAAATTTTCTTTTTTTTTTTTTGAATTTTCGATTTAAAAAAAAAAAAAATTTTAATTTATAAAATGTCAGGTTGCGTGTGAAATTTATTTATTTATTTATTTATTATAAAATGATTTTTTTCGAATGTCAAATTCGTCGAATAATAACAAAAAAAAAAAAAAAAGGAAACGGAAATGGAAGTCGAGGAATTTTTAAGGATTTAAAAGTATTATTATTATTTTTTTTTCTGTTGGAAAAAATAGCAAAAGAAAAGAGGAAGAGAGTGTGAGAGAAAATGAAAAAAAAAAAAAAAAAATCGTATTCGAATTCTATATCGGGGCAGAAGAGTAAAAGTAGTCAATCTGGGTCGTAATTATTTATTTTTTAAATTTTCCCGCCAAAAAGATCGATCGATCGATGAATCGCATTAATTAAAAAATAAATTGATGATGATGATGATGATTAAAATTATTACGGGTCGTTTTTACTTGGAGAAAAAAAGGAAAAGGAAAATAAAATATCAATAATAAGAGAGAGAGAGAGAGTGAGAGAAGGGAAGAAAAAGAGAGAGAGAGAGAGAGAGAGTGAGAGAAGGGAAGAAAAAGAGAGAGAGAGAGAGAGAGAGTGAGAGAAGGGAAGAAAAAGAGAGAGAGAGAGAGAGAGTGAGAGAAGGGAAGAAAAAGAGAGAGAATTGCGTCGAATTGATCTTTTTTGATTTCTTTCTTTCTTTCTTTTTTTTTTTACGATAATTTATTATGAAAAAAAAATAAAAATTCCGTTAATTTTTCTTTATTTGTTTCCATCGAGAGACGAACGGAAATGAAAAATTGAGTAAAGGATTTCCGGTTTGTCGTCGTCGTCGTCGTCGTCGTCATCGACGTCATCGTTGTCGTCGTCGTCGTAAAAACCGTTAAGGACTCAATTAATATCAATTTATAACCCGAGAATCAAATAAAAGGAGAAAAAAAAATTATTCATTTTTTTTTTGTTTCGTTTCCGTTTTCTTTTTTTTTTTTTTATTAATATTTGGTCCGTGACGAGGTTTTATTTTTACTCAGAGAGAGAATGACGTGATGATACCTTTTAATTTTTTCTTATTTCCTTTTAAATGAAAAACAAAGAAAACGATTTTTTTTAAAATTTAAAATTGTCAAAATTAAAATAAAAAAGGGAAAAAAAAATTTCACGGGAAGTTTTTTTTTGGGGGGAAGAACGAATGGGAGGGAAGGGGAAGGAAAGTCTGAAAAAAAAATTTTTCCAGCGTGTGTGTATATATATATTTATATAAAAAAGGCACTGGAAAAAATTTGAAAAATTAAATTATTATTTTTTCTTTAAATATTGTGTCAAAGGTTAAATTTTTTTAACCGACTCGCTGGAAAAACTTGATAAAATTTATCGTGACGTGAATTTTTATTTTTTTTTTTTGGAAAAAAAAGAGAGAGAGAGAGAGGGAGAAGGAGAAGGGAAGGGGAGAGAGAGTGAGGGAGGGAAAAAGGATGTAAAAATTATAAAATCGACTGTGAAATTTTATCCTTGGAAAATATTTATTTTATTTTATTTTATTTTTATTATCGTAAATTAATAATTTATTAAAAGGATCAAAGGATTTGAGTGTCAAAGGAATGAAAAATTGTTTTCCTTTTTTTTTTTTTTTTTTATTCATAATCCCGATTTTCTATTTTTTTTATTTTTTTTTATTAAATTCTCACGACGACGACGACGACGACAGCAACAGCTAAAAAAAAATTTTATTTTTTATTTTCACGTCGTTTCCCCTTCCCCCTCCTCATACAGAATTTTCTAGAAATTTATTTATTTGTTTATTTATTTTCGTCGTCGTCGTCATCGTCGTCGTTGAAAAAAGAGTGTAGGAAAGGAAAAAAAATAAAAAAAAGGAAAGAAAAAATTATTGACGATGTATTTTTATTTTTATTTTTTATTTTTTCATTCGATTTTCCTTTTATTAGTTTTCATTTTCATTTTTTATTTTCTAAAATACAAAAAAAAAAAAAAAGAAAATTGCACAAGGAATATGTATGATTGCTTTCATGTTTTACAAACGGATTCCTTTTTTTTCTTTTTCATTCCTTTTCGAGCTTTTTACTTGATTGCACTTATTTTTTTTTTTTTTCCTTTTACAATATTCCATTTTTTTTTTTTTTTTTTTTTTTTATGGAAAAACGATAAAAATTTTTTACAGGTTTGCTTTTTAAAAAAAAAAAAAACTACGCGGAAAAGGGAAAATTTCCTTTTTTTTTCACTCTCTCTCTCTCTCTCTCATAAATATTCGTAGAAACGTTTTTCTCGATTTTTTTTTTGCTTTTTGAACTTTTCCGGTGGGGGGAGGGGGGAGGGGGGTAAGGAAGAAATAAAAATGCCGCTTTTACGTTTCGTTTTAAAAAAAACAAAAAAAAACAAAAAAACAAAACAAAAAAAATTTAATTTTTTTTCAGTTTTTTTTCTCCATTTTTACAATTTTCGAGAAATCGTTTTCGTTTTTCCAGATTTTTTTTTTTTTTTTTTATTAAACGTGACGTTTTCTTAATTGTAATGTATTGCCGTAAAACGAAAGGGGACTACGAAGGAAAAAAATTACACTTTTACTAGAATACCTCTTTCTCTCTCTCTCTCTCTCTCTCTCTCTCTCTCTCTCTCCCCTTTCTCTGCACGCCTTCGCTCTGGAGAAATTATATTGACCTCGGCTTGTTCGTTCGTTTTATATATACAAAAACTTTTTTTTTTTTTTTTGTCGTTTTAGTGGTCGTCGTTGTTCTCCTTTTTTTTTTAAAAAAAAAAAAAAAAAAAAAAAAAAAAAGGAAGGAAAAAAATGGAAAAGCGTGCGAGTGAGTGTCGGAAAATGACGGTGGTGGTTTAACAGAGTCATGCGACAAAACACCTTTTGAAAATTGATTTTTTTTTTTTTTCATTTTCCATTTTCCCTTTACCTTTTTCCTTTTTTCCTTTTTTTTTTTTTGAAAATGGAAATGGATTTTTTTTTTTTAAATTTAAATCGTAAAATCAGAAAGCGTAAATTTAAAAAAAAAAAAAAAATGAAAACAGAAAACAGAAAAGAAAAAAACAATAAAAAATAATAACAACAAAAACAATTTAAATCTAATTTACCTGTACGTTTGTTTCAATCAGGATAATAAAAAAGAAGGTAATGATAATGGTGATGATGATAATAATAATAAACAAATGAGTGAAACAAAATTAAATAAAAAATAAATAAAATAAAAAAAACTTTACGCGTTCGGTCTATTGTTTTGAAAGTTTTGTTTTTTTTTTTATTGTTTTTGTTTCCCCCCCCCCTCAGTTCTCGTTTTTTTCATATATATTTTCTTACTCTATGAAATTTTCAAACGCGTGGCTTTTTATACTTTTTTCGCGATATTTTGCGACATTTTTTGGTTTTTTTTTTTTTTGGTCATTTTACTCATCGACGAGAATGATCGGATTTAATAAAAATCTCTCTCCGTAATTTTTCCCCCATTTTTTTTGTTGTTGTGGTTTTGAAAATAATCGATTTTTCTAAATCGTTTGTTATTGTGTAATTCGTGAAAATTTCAAAAAAAAAGGGTTCAAAAGGGTTAATTTAATTCCGAACATCAAAGGGAAAAAAAAAAAGTTTCTATAAATAATTTTTTTTTTTTTTTTATTTAATGTTTTTTGTGTGTTTGATTTTGTTTGTGTGTGTTTGTGTTTGTACTTGTGTGTGAGAGTAAAAAGTGTGTATGAGTTAGTTGCCGTGTGATTAAATAATAATTCGAACAAAAAAAAAAAAAGTATATGATGGTGGGAGAAATGGTGAAAAGAAGGAAAGAAGGAAAAAAATGGAAGGGTTAGAAAAAAAATAAAAAAGATAGAAAATAAATAAACAAATAACCTTTTGTTAAAAAGGTCATAGAGGTTGTTGTTGTTGTTACGACTACGACACACAACGGAAAATTTTTTAAAAGCGGAAATTAAGGTTCTTGTCGAACAATACGAGACACCGCCTTGTATTACAACTCTCCTTTACTTTCCCTGTCGAAAAGGTTTTTTTTTTTTTATCAAAAGACCAGACGAGGATTAAAAGATGAAAAATGGAAAACGTTTTAATAAGAACGGGGGAGGGGTGGGGGGAAAGAGAAGGGGGAAAAAATCGAATAAACTCTTTTTCGATACACGTTTCCAGGATTTTTTTTGTCACGCGACGGGAGAGCGAAGAAAACGGCTCGGCCTGGAAAAAAAAAAATGTCGCACAGAATTTTAATTTAAAATTTTACGGCGATCCCCCGCGTTTTTTCTCTATTTTTTTTTTTTATTAACCCTTTTCCGAACGCCTTTAATTTCCCTTAATTTTTTTTTTTTTTTTTTTATAACTTGTAGGTTCGACTTTTTATTAAAGGTTGGCATTCCTGACGGTCAAAGTTTTAATAGGGGAAAAAAAAAATTTTTTTTCCTCTTCGTATTGTATTGTTTTTGGTACTATTAATAAAATACTTTTTAATTTTACCTTTGTTACTTTTTTTAAATTGAAGTGTTACGCTCATAGTTAGCATAGGAGTAAATCGTCTTTTTAACGAGTTTAAAAAATAAAAAATAAAAATCCGTCGATGTGATTGGTTGGTTTTTATCTATTTAAGAGAAGGGGAAGGAGGGGGTGATAATTGTTTTTATTTAACTTTCCCCCTATCTTTCTAATTTTTTTCGAAGTTTTTTCTCGTTTCATTTTTCCCGCCTTTTTTCAAACTGAATAATTTCATGAGTTGACGGTTGTCGTAATAATGGCCGCAGGAATTATTACGCTAAATAATATGAAACGACGACGACGTTGATTGGAATTCGGTGTTTGTTCGTTCGTTTGTTTGTTTGTCTTTCCTTTTTTTTTCACTTTCGTTATAAAATTGAAGAGAAAAATAAAAAAATAAAAAGGTTAAGAACTAAAAAAAAAAAACTATGATGACGTAAACAAGGGAAAAAGGTTTTGTCGATTAATTATTTGTGAAAAGATAAAAACATCTCGTTGGAATTTATTACAAAAGGTGAAAATTCACTTTCTCTCTCTCTCTTTCTCTCTCACTCACTCACTCACTCACTCTCATTTTCCTTTTTACATTATTATTATTATTATTATTATTGTTAAATGCGACAATAACAATTGTAAAAAATGTCGTTTGTTTCGGCTCCTCATTTCTGAATCATCATCATCATCACAATTGTCATTGAGAACATCCGGAAAATTTCCTTTGAAAGCGGAAACGGTTACGACTTATTCTCGTTCCACGTCTACACGATTTACCCTGTACATTTATATTTTTTTTTTTCCCCCTTTTTTTTTTTATTTTTTGTTGCACGTCGGTCGGGTTTTTTCATCTGGTAAATTAAATTTATAAAAAACTCGGGAAAAGTTATTTTCTTATCCTTTTTTACTGGCGAGCGGCTAGAACTTTTCGAAATTTTCCCGCCATTTTTTTTTTTTTTGTTATCACCTGTTGTCAGTTGTTGCATTCTCACGATTTATATAAATTTTCCAGTTCTTTCGAATGTTTTCTTCATTGTCATTCACCACCACCATTTTGTTTTCATTTGAATCGGGGAGGGGAAGAAATTTGTCGCTTATTCTAGAGCTTTTATTTGTCATTGTTTTTTTTTTTTTTTTGATGATTTCGCATTTGTTTAATGCTTTGGAAATTATTATTATTATTATTATTATTATACATTCGTTCGCGTTTTTTTTTTTTCTATTTGATATTTTCAATCATTTCCCTGTCATTATTTTCGTATTAAGCAATATGTCATTTTCATTTCTTTCTTTCTTTCTTTCTATCAAAAAGAAATCTTATTTGTTTTTTTTTATTTTATTATTATTATTATTTTTTTCGTTTTCTATTCTAGAAAGTTTTTTTTTTTTTTTTGATTTCGAACGAAATGTGAAAAGAATTGTGTAAACTTTCATCATTTTTTTATTTTTTACTTTCATTATTGATCCTTCCTTAATACGGTCCCGGATTAAATTTCTTTAACATTTCCTAATCGAATTTTTTATTTTTTTATTTTATTTTAGCTTTCTTCCCTTTTCTTCCCTTCCCTTCGCTTCCCTCCTTCTTCTTCTTTCTCTCTCTCTCTCGGAATTTTTTCCAGTTTTGTTTTACTATGGCGGTGAGAGGGGGAGGGGGAAAATTTTATTTTATTTTTGTTAAAATTCGTTTGACGTCGACATTTTTTCGTTTTTTTTTTTGTTTTCCCCGTGTGTGTGTGTGTGCGTGCGTGCGTGCGTGAGAAAACACGACGACAAATAATATCGTAATGTCGTGGAAAGAGAAAAATTTTTCCGTTAAATAATTTATACAGAGATAAAAGCTGTTGCGGAAGAATTTAAAGAATTTTTCTCAGAGATTTTACGTTTTTGCACCTGAAATATGGGAAAAGGAATGAATGAATGAAGGAATGAATAAATCCCGATGGGGGAATAAGAATAAAAAAAAAAGGGGAAAACGAATTTCGAAATTTTAATAAAGCATGGCGGAAAATCCATTTTTCTCTCTCTTTCTCTCTTTTATTTTAAATGCTTTGGAATTTTCTCTCTGTCTCTTTCGGTTTTGAAATTTTCATTTTCATTTTTGTTATTTTTTTTTTTTTTACAGGAATTCTTATTGGCCATCGATGTAACCTCGTCGGGAACACCTGAAGAAAAGCTCAAATGGGCTTTTAGAATGTATGACGTAGACGGAAATGGCGTCATCGACATTCAAGAAATGACCAAAATAGTTCAGGTAAAAAAAAAAAAAAAAAGAAAAAATTTTCAAAAATTATAACTATTATTAATTATTATTATTAATATTTTTTTTAACCTGTTTTCGAACGGGAAGAACATTTTTTCCCTTTTCGGGGAAAAAAACCGGATACGGTTGAAATTTATTTGTTTTTTTTTTTTTTTTTTTTTTTTTTTTTTTATAAAAATAACGTCGGAAGTAATTTGGTTAGAATCGCGTGGAAAATTCGAGAAGGAAAAAAAAAAAAGAAGGAAACGTGTATATATATATTTTTTCCCCCTTTCTCATATCTCTAGAAAGTAAGTGGTGCCAACCTAAATTTTTTTTTTTTTTGTATCGATAAAAATAAAAGGAAACGTTTAGTAAAAAAAAAAAAAATTTGATATCGATAATTTGTTCGTGGTTCCTTCCTTTCGAAAATTCTAGAAACGAATTTTTTTTTTTTTTTTTTTTTTTTTTGTATTTTTGCTGCTGCGACATTCTTTCCTTTGTGTAAAAAAAATCAACGACAAATTTTTTTTTTCCAACGAAATAAAAAAGGAGAAAAGAAAAAAAATTGAAAATTTTTTATGTTCCGCCTTTAATAATAATAATAATAATAATAATAATAATAATAATGATGATGATGATGATGATGATGATGATTTGATGAAATAGGGTTTTCGCCGCCATTATGGGAAATGACCTGTCGAAGGATATAAAATTTTCAATAAAAATTTCACGAAATGAAGTGAAATCCCTGAAATGAGTTTTTTTCTCTCTCTCTCTTCCACGTCCCCCCACTCTACTCCTCTTTCCCGTCTTTTTCTTCTTTTTTCCCTCCCCTCCTCCCTCCCCCGTTTCTTCTTCTTTTTTTTTTTATTCATGTCTTTGTGTCTTCGCTCGCGTCTTACTCATCTTCGATAGCGTCATAAACGATAATCCTGTAGTTTTTCTCCTTTTTTTTTACAGGAAGGCTTTCCTCTCTCTCTCTCTTTCTTTCTTTCTTTGTCTTTTTTTAAAGGAGATTATTTTGCTAAGCCAACATCGGAGCCATTGTGAATTAGTACGCAGTCGGGAGCTCAAAGTCTTCTTTTTTTTTAAATTTATTGTATAGAAAGAAAAAGAGAGAGAGGGTAGGGGAGAAGGGGAAGAGTCTTTTTTTTAGAATAAATTTCATTTTTAGGTTTATTCCTCTTTCTTTCTTTCTTTTCTTTTTTTCTCGATTTTATAATTATTATTGTTTTCCAGGCTATTTACGACATGTTGGGAGCGTGTTCGAGCAATCGTCCGGCGGATTCGGCGGAAGAAAGAGCAAAAAATATTTTTGCTAAAATGGACGAAAACAACGATGGACAATTGACTCAAGATGAATTTCTCAAAGGTTGTTTGCAAGACGAAGAACTCTCGAAAATGTTGGCACCTTAAATTCTTCTCCATTTTTTTTTTCCCTCCCTCCAAAACAACCGGAAGGAAAGGAAATGAAATAAAACAAAAACCGAAATTCAGCATCAGCATCATTTTGATAATAATTTTTTAAAGGGATGACACGTGAGTGGAAAGGGGGAGGAAGGGAAAATTTCGAATCAATTCACACGGTTAATCTTTTCATAATAATAATAATATTTTAAAGGGTTTTTTTGAGAGGGGGGAAGAAGAAGGTGAAGAAAAGACTCGATAAAAAATTTGAATTTCCGGTCTCGCAAAAATGCTCCGAACCTTTTTTTTTTTTTTCTTTTTTATTTATTTATTTTTCGAAAAAGGACTCCTCGAAAAAAAAATGGGGGAAGGGGAAAGGAAGAAAGGGAGAGGGAAGGGTAAGTGTCGTTTATTTATTTGTTTTTGTGAGATTTTTTTTTAAGGTGCGTAAGGTAATGGAGTACATCATTAGTTTTTTTTTTTATTTTATTACTCTATGACTTTGTGGCGGATAAGTACGGCGACCTCTACAGTTAAAATTATGAACCATATAATAATATGGCGAAATCGTAAAAGTAAAAAAATGAGGAGGGACAGAGAGAGTAATAGAGATTTATTTTTATTTTTAAAAACTCTGCAAAAAAAAAAAAAAGGAAAATGGAGGGATTTTTATTAATAAAAAAAAATAAAAAGGTTTAAATTCGTTTAATACGCTTTTGGAATCCGGAGATTTTTTATAGCAGGTTGTTCTATAACTATAAAAGATAATAATGATAACATAATAATAATAATAATAATAATAAAAGTAATGAAATTTTTATTAATTTAAAAAAGCTAAAAAAAAAATTCGTTTTTTTTTTTTTTTAGTTCGATTCAGTTAAGGTAAAAAATGTGTGCGTCAACGTGGATTTGCACGCGTGCGTTTTCCTTTTTTGGCGGAGATTTGACTTCCATTGTTTTCTTTTCTTCTTTTGTTCATTTTTGACGTTTCATCAAAAATATATATTAGTAATATTAATAATAATAATAATAATAATATTTGTAATATATTTATGAGATGTGAAAAAGAAGGTTTTTTGTTCTTCTCGGTTTTTGTGTTTTCCAAAAATGGGATTAAACGTTTTTTTTTTTCACGTTGTTTTGTTTCGCTACAAAAGAAAAAAAAATCGTCGTTATATTGTTTACAAACCCTCCCACTCCCCCACCGCCCGTTTTTCATCTTTCTATTTCTACCTTCCTGTCTCTCTCTCTTTCTTCCTTTCCTCTATCCTCTCTATTTCTCTCCTTCGTTTTCGTATTTTCCTCTATTTCTTCTCTCTCTAATTTTCCTGTTTTTCTCTATCATTTCTTCCCTCTTTCTCTTTGTATTTTTTTTTCTTTTCTTCCATCCTCTCTCTCTCTCTCTCCCCTTCGTTTTCGTCTTTTTTTCTATCTCCTCTCTCTCTAGTTTTTCTCTTTTCCTGTTTTCCTCTATCCTCTCTCTTTCCTCTTTTCCTCCTCTAACTTCTCTCCTTCGTTTTCGTTTTTTCCTTTCCTCTTTTTCTGTTTTCCTCCATCAGCTCTCTCCCCTCTCTCTCTCTCTCTCTTTCTCTTTAATTTTTTTCCTTCTTTTCCAACAAACAAACAAGGGAAACAAACAATTCGTGTAATTAGAAAATTTGATAGGAGGGGATTAAAAAAAAAAATCCAATTTTTTATTGTCAGGTAATAATGATGTTAGAAAAGGAAAAAAAAATGATTTAAAAAAAAAAAAAACGTGGAATTAGAATTTGAATACATAAAAAAATTTATTCGCGTTTTTTTTTTTTTATTAAATTAAGTTTTACGTTTTTATTGGGGGAAAAAAAATTTTCCTTTTTTTCCTTTTTAATTTTTTTTTCTTCCATTTGTCGGAAAAGTAATTAATTGAATTTTTTTTTTAATTTTTAAATTATTATTATTATTATTATTATTATTATTATTATTATTATTATTATTGTATTTACGCGTAGAATTTAATGACCCCGAAATTTATTGGATGGAATTTGTTTTGAAGGAGGAGGAGGACGGGGGAGGTTAGAAGAGGATGTGATGGAAAGTTTTGAAAACGTTTTACGTAATGTTCGATAATATCGAATCGATCGATTTTTTTTAAAAATCGTTTGAATATATAATGAGGGGAGGGGGAGGAGGAGGAAAAAAAATTTAATTGAATTCTTTCGATAGTTTTCATTTAAAATTTTTTTTTTTTTTTTTTGAGATTCAATTTAGTAAAGAAAGAAAAAGATAGGAGGAGGAAGAAGGAAGGAAAAGGGAAAAATTCGAAAATGTTTGTTTGCTTTTTTTCTTTTCTTTTTTTTTTTGTCGTGTCGTTAGAACGAAAGAGAGATAAAATATTTAATTTATGCATTGCGGCGGGAATATATATATATATATATATATATATATTTTAAACAAAAACCACGACGACGTTTTAAATTTTTATTTACAACGACCCTTGCTTTGAATTATTATTATTATTATTATTATATTCAATCCTAAAACGGTTTTTTTTCCAAAAGATTTATCGACCTGGAATGCCTGGAATGTTTTTTTTTCCTTTGAATTCCTTTTTTTACGATATTATTATTTGAACGTTTTAATTTTTCCTTTTTTAAAATTTAATCCAATATGGCGGCGGTTCGTTTTTTTTTCTTTTTTTCCTTTCGTCTCACTTGTTGCTTTTGCAGAACGTAAAAAAAAAAGATATTTGGAATTCTAGGGAGTATCGTTTGTTGTTTGTTGTTGTTTTAAAAAAATTACAGAAAAATAAATATAAGAACAAAAGAGGAAATGCGAAAAAGGAGCGGAAGTGAGTGAGAGGGACTGAACATAATCACAAACTTCCCCGTGGAAAAAAAAAAAATTCTAGAATTTTCTAATCGTTTTAATTAATGTATTAACCTATTATTATTATTATTACCGACGGGAGTGGAATCGGGAGGGACGTTCGTTGTAAAAAGAAAAATTAGGTCACAGGAAAATTTTTTGTTTTTTTTTTTTTTAACGAGCGGGTAAGAAAAAAAGGAAAAAAAAACGTGAAGTATGAAATGTTTAAACGGGAAATGCAATTTCCTGTTTTTTCTCTTACCACGACTCTCGCACGCAAGCACATTCATTCCACCTCTTTCCCCTTCTCCCGCCTCTCTTTCTGCCCGCGTTTTCCACGCTTTTCATTTTTCCTTCTTTTTTTTTACTCCCATTATATTAACTCCGTTTTAAATTTCAAATGGAAATTTAATGTTTCACGTTGGCAACATTGACGATTGTTAATTTTTTTAAGGTAAAATTTTTTTTTTTTTAAGGTAAAAATTAGGTAGGCAGGGAGGGGAGGCGGGACGGAGGGAAACGAACGAAAAAACCGGAAACGCGGATGAATATTTGAATCGTTATATGCGGCGTATATAAAAGTTCATTAAAAAATAGTTTCGTTTTTTTTTGCGTTTTCGTTTGTTTGTTTGTTTGTCGAGAATGATTTGATATGTTTGTTTGTTACGAATAAAGATTGTTATCATTATTATTATTATTATTATTATTCGGAAATAGCGATTAAAAAAAAAAACAAGAAGGAGGGGGGTAAAATATTTTGTTCGTTAATTCGTCGGACGGCGTTTGTTTCAATTGTCGTTTTAAAAAAATTGATGATTTCCGGTTTTTTTTTCTTCTTCTTCGATTTCCGGTTTTTTTAATCCCTTTTTATCCCTCAAAAGAAAATCAAAAGTTTTTGTTTTTTTTTATATTGACTCGCGGTTATTGAAAAATTTTCATTTTCATTTTGAAAATTTGACGACGTTAAAAAAAAAAAAAAAAAAAAAAAAGAAAACTAGTTTTTCTCTTTTCTTAAAAGTTACACAAAGCTTTTAAGCTTCTTTAAAAAAAAAAAAAAAAAAAAAAAAACTGGAAGAAAAAAAAAAGAAGGAAGAAGGAGGAGGAGGGAAAGAAGATTTTGATTGTCGAATCAAAGGAGAGGAAGACAAAGAGAGAGAGAGAAAGGAAAAAAAATGCTGTCGTTTGAATTTTTTACTTAAATTTTTTTTTTTTTTTTTTTTAGATTTACAAGTGGTTCTAAAAATATTCACTTTTTTTGTGGAGAGAGGAAGAGAGGGGATGCGGGGAAAGAGGGGGGTGTGAAAAGTTGGTCTTTTTTTTTTTAAACAAACAGGAAAAAGAATTTCGAAACCTTTTCCGGTCGGTGATCATTTGTATTTCCTTTTTTATTATTTTTCCCGATTTAAATTTTTTTGTTTTTTGATAATAATATTATTTTCGGTTTTGTTTGTTTGTTGGTTTGTTTATTCGTTTGTTTGTTGGTTATTGTGTCATTCAATCTTTTCTTTAATTTTTTTTTTTTTTTTTATAACGTTTCGATTTCGTCGAGTCGAATTTTTTTTTCCCCCTTTTAATTTTTTCCTTTTCTTTCTTTCTTTTTTTCTCTCTCTCTCTCTTTTTTAAATTTTTGCTCTCGTCAGAAAAGTTTTTTGTCACTCTCTCTCTCTCTCTCTTTGTCTTTTTCTTCCTTCTCAAATATTCAAATTTTAAAATATTAATTTTCAAATTCACTTTTCCACATTATTTTATATTTTTTCCGTTTTTTTTTTTTTACCTTCGAGAAACTTTTTTTTATCTCTCTCTCTCTTTCTCTTTTACTTCAGAATTTTCTCAATTTCGTTATTCTTATGTAAAAAAGAATGAAAGAAAAGGAAAAAAGGCTCGAAGCTATAAAAAAAAAAAATTTTACTTTTCCTTTTCTTTTTTTTTTTTATTTCTTTTATTTAAAGTTTTTTTTGTCGAACGTGACCAATTTTATAAAATTTTATTTGTCGACTCTTGTTATGTTTTTCTCTCTCTCTCTCTTTTCGGTTTTGGTTCTCAAATTCGAAAATTTTTTGTTTCTTTTGTTTTTTTTTCCTCGTAAAAACAAAAAAGGAACGATCGGGATAAAGGATTTCAGGAGTGAGAGGGAGAGAGGGAAGGGAGGGGAACGGAGGGAGGAAGAAAAAAAGAAAAGAAAATCAAATAAATAAATTTTTGAGTAAGTTAATAAGAAAAAAAAAGGTCGAGTTGTTTGTTTTTGTTGTTTCCTTTTTTTGTCGTCTTTGTCGTTTTCTCTCTCTGTCTCTCTCTTTCATTACGACTAATTAAAAAAAAAAAGGTTATTTATTATTATTATTATTATTATTATTATTATTATTATTATTATTGTTGTTGTTGTTACGGACCGTATATTTAATTTATAAATTCTGGAAAAGTTTGTTTGTTTCTTTTTTTTTTGTTTCCTTTAAAATCGTCGACAAAAAAAGAGAAATAATCGATATCGTTATTATTATCATCATTATTATTATTACTTTTTATTTAAAGAAAGTAAAGGAATTTTTTGTGAAATGGAATATTTCAAGGAATACGGCGGGGAAGAGTATTTGATGCCCTCGGGATGTTTAAAGTAGGAAAAATGATGACGTAGAAAAGATGGAGCGAATGAAAATTGTTCAAATTTGTTTCTCGAAGGTTTTGTTTTATTATAACCATTATTATTATCATAAATTTAACCGAATGTGTCGATGCGTAGAAACCTCTCCTTTCCCCTCCCCTCCCCCCATCTCTCTCTTTCTTTCATTCTTCTAATTAACAAATTTTAAATTAATGAGTTTTGTTGTTCTGGGGAAAAAAAATTTTTTTAAAATTTGTCTCACTGTTCTATCGTTATTCCCTGTTTTTTTTCTCCCTCCCTCTCTCCCTCTTTTCTCCCTCCCTCTCTCCCTTCCCTCCTCTTTTTTTGCTTTGACGTAATTTAATTATCCGGATGGGAAAAGGATTAAAAAAAAAAAAAAAATTATAATGATTATGACGACGATGACGATGATTATGATGAAAAATAAAAAATTTTTTTTCTTTTTTTTTGTTTTTCGTTTAAATTTATTTATTTATTAGTTTTTTTTGTTGTCGGTTGTGGTTTTTCTTTGTTGTCGTTTGTTGTCGGTTGTGGTGGTGTTTGTTTGTGCGTGAGAAGCGTTAATGCCGATCGTTGGTTGTTATTTTTTTTTGTACTTTTGTATTTCTTGTTTTTATCCCTCTCTCTCTTCGTATTTTTCTCTTTTTTTTCTTTTTTAATTTCTATTTCCCCCTCTTTCTCTCTTTCTCTCTCTCTCTTCTCTCTCTTTTCCTCTTTTTCCTTTAATGTAAAATTTTTTTCTTAGTCTCATTCGCAATTTTAAAATTTCTTTCGGATTAAAATCTTTGGATAAATCTTTTGGATTTAATTTTTCCATATTTATTTTTCACATCGTTTTCGTCGCCATTGTTGTTGTCGTCATAACGATGACGTAATACGTATTGATTTATTTATATAGTCATTAATGACGGATTCGAAGGGGAAAAAAAAGGTTTCGGAGGAGCATTTTTCGTAAATAATATATGTAAAATAAAAAAAATAAAAAAAAAACTTTTTCATGTATGTTCGTAATCGAATAAAATAATTTAATGTACTTAATCTCTTTACAATCTTCACATTATTGTAATTAATAATAATAATAATAATAATAATAATAATAATAAATACACATTATAAATGAATATAAATGTAATTAATTAATTTATTAATTAATTTTAAGTTTTAACTTTCGTCGTCGACTGTATAAAACTTGTATAGCCTGTGTTGTTCTTCTTCTTTTTCTTCTTCTTTTAAAAATTTAATTAAAAAACTCTTAAACTTGTGTTTTCTCATCATCGTTATTATTATTATCATTATTATCATTATTATTATTAATAATTATCATTAATATTAATTATTAATGTGCTTTTCACGATGAGTTGTGTAAGTCTAGTTGAATATTTCATTAAAATGAAAGGAAACGAAAAAAACGGAGACTAAATTTTTTGGTTTTTCGGTTTTTTTTTTTTTTTTAACACTCAGAAATTTACGACACATATACACGCGCACACACACACAATCACACTCGCAAAAAAAAAGGAAAAAAAAAGCGAAAGAAAGAGACAAACGACGAGTTGTTGATGAGTAGATTATTTTACGCGTATTAAAAATTTATTCTTATTATTATTATTATTATTATTATTATTATTATTATTATTATTAATTATTATTATTATTATTGATTAATAACAGTTATGTACAGACAAATTACTATTTAAAAAAGTGTTTAATTAATAATAATAATAATAATTTTTTTTTTTTAAATAATATTTATTTATTTATTTTTAAATAATTTAATTCTTCATTATTATTATTATTATTATTATTATTATTATTATTATTATTATTATTATTATTATTAACATTATTATTATCATCATCATTATTACTATTATTATTATTACGAATTTTTTTTTTTCGAATCGAATTTTCTCAATTAAAAAAAAAAAAAATAAGAAAAGAAAATTTCTACGCATTTTATATTTTTAAGTGTATATTATTGGTGATGATGATAATAATAATAATTATAATCGATAAAAAGAAAAAAAAATTAATAATAATAATGATTTCTTACACGAATTGTGATCTATTATTACTACATAACTTTTGTTTTATTTATTTATCTATAAGTATATTTTATTAAAATGAAAATAATTTAATAAGCCTTCATACTCTCGATAAAATAAATAAATAAATAAATAAAAGTTTTTTTTTTCTTTTTGTTCTCGATAAGTGTTATTATAACGTATGTGTATTAGTTAAGTATTAAACCAAAAAAAAAAAAAATTCGTGCGATTTGAATGACGTCATAATGGAAAGAAAAAAAAAAACGGAAAAATTCGCGCGCGCGCGCGAAATTTTTTTTTCTTCTACAATTTCCTACGGGTATATTTTAATTATAATTAGACACGCGCACACGCACACGCAAACACGTTCGATGTTGTTGTCGTCGTCGCCATTTTTTTTTTTCGTGAAAATTTAAATTTTTTTTATGACGTCATTACTTTTCGTTTACAAAATCGATTTTTTTTTTTTTTTAATTACGGTTACCGTGTGCGTGCGTGGGCGTGTGCGCGTGCTAAGCACGAATTTTTTTGCCCATTAAATTTTTCATACATTTTTTTTTTTTTAATTGTTTAATTGTAAATATTTAAATTCAAAAACGAAATTTAAAAAGAAGAAAAAAAAAAATTTTTTTTTTTTTCCTTTCCACCTGTTCGACGTCGTCACAATGTTACCAACTTGTAAAAAAATAATTTCTAGAATTTTCTCCCGAGGGAGAGAAATTTTTTTTTTTCTTCTTCTCTCTTGATTTGATTTTTTTTTTTAAAAAAAATTGTTAATTTATTCTGGAGAGAATGAAGCGGAAATCGGGATGACAGTGTTAAGTAAAAACAGGAAACGGAAAAAGAAATAAATTTGATTCGAAAATAATAATAATAATAATAATAATAAAAGAATTTTTTTTTCGTTCGTCTTCCTATTTTGATATTATTTATTTTATTTAATCATTTTTATTATTATTATTATTATTATTATTATTATTATTATTATTATTATTATTATTATTATTATTATTAATTGATAGCCGACGACATCGAGTGATGTGTGTGTGGAAAGAGAAACAAAAAAAAATTTTTTTTTATTTTTATTTTTCGGGGTTGGTAAAAGAGTAATAAAATATTAATAATAATAATAATAATAAGAAAAATAAAAAGTGCTTTAAGTTATAGTTTAAAAAAAATTATTTATGAATTTTATTATATAAAAAATTTGGTGCTTAATTAAATAGTGTTCATATAAATAAAAAAAAATTTTCGGCGCCATTTTATTTATAAAATTATTATTATTATTATTATTATTATTATTATTATTATTATTATTATTATTATTATTATTATTATTATTATTATTATTAATATTAATAATAAATTTTTATTATTTTGAATGGATGGCAAAACATTTGAAAAAAAAAAAATTTTTTTTTCTCTCTCTCTCAAAAATTAAAGTCAATTTTATTTGATTAATGGCATTTAATTTATTTATTTATTATCATTATCATTATTTGAATTGATTGACGTCATCATTGGTAAAACGGATATCCAGTTCGTTCCGTATTAAAAAAAAAAAACGTAATAATATATTTATAATTTTTCCAGTGGTATTATTTTTAAAAAAAAATTTTTAATTTATAATTTAATTTCCTTTTTTCATTTGTTTATTATTATTATCATTATTATGATTACTATTATTATTATTATTATTATCGTTTAGGTTTAAATGGTGATTTTTCATTGGTCGGATTTTTAATTCGATTGGATTTGCTGTCGTCGTCGTTTCGAATACGGAAATAATGGGAAAGCAAAATAGCAAATTAAAACCGGAAGTTTTGGAAGATTTAAGGCAAAGCACGGAATTTTCAGGTAGGATTTGTGACGTCATTAAATTTTTTTTTTTTTTTACAGCGGAAGAAAGAATGATGATGAAGGGTAAGGGAATAGAAAAGGAAACGGAAATGATTTCAAAATGTAGTTTGGTCACTAAGAATCATCATTATCATTATTACTATTATTATTATCATTATATCGGAAAAAAGAATGAGAAATTTTTTTCTCGTTTTAAAAAATTAATTTCCGGTTTTTTTTTTCTCTAAAAAAATTTTAAATGTTTCCGGTTCCGGGGAGGGAGGGGAGGAACGGATGGGCGTGGGGAAAAGCGAGATCACGTAAAAAAAAAAAAGAAAAAAACATTGAAACGTCAGGATGAGAATTTTTTTTTTGTTCTGGAAATTATGGAAAATTAGGAAGGTTTTCCAGCAGAAAGGATGGAAAAGTTAGGTGAGGGTGAGGGAGGGGGAGAAGGGAAACCACAATACGGAAAGGCCCTGGTGTAGTAATATTTAAATGGTTTTTCTTATTATTATTAAAGTCACGTATTTAAGTCAATTGTGGGCGCAAGTACATCCTTTCAATTCTAGAATGTTCTTTTAACTTTTTTTTTTCTCTCTCTCTCTTATACGATGCGCGTGAGACGGTAGCAACAAAAACAAACGGATATTGTTGAAAAGGGAGGGAGGGAGGGAGGAAGGAAAAAAGAGAGAGAGGGATGAAGATTTTGGCGGATTTGTTTGTATTAAAAAAAAAAAAAAAGAGAAATTTAATTTTTTTCGTTTCCGGATTTTTTTTTTAGATACCGAAATCCAGGAATGGTATAAGGGTTTCCTGAAGGATTGTCCGAGCGGTCACCTGAGCGTCGACGAATTCAAAAAAATCTACGGGAATTTTTTCCCATACGGGGACGCATCGAAGTTTGCTGAACACGTGTTCAGAACGTTCGATGCCAACGGTGATGGTACTATAGATTTTCGGGAGTTTCTCTGCGCTCTCTCGGTTACGTCCAGGGGGAAACTGGAGCAGAAACTTAAATGGGCGTTTAGCATGTATGATTTGGACGGAAATGGGTACATTTCGAGACAGGAAATGCTGGAAATTGTGACTGTGAGTAGATATAAATGGTGTGAAACGTTTTTCCTTCCCTTTTTTTTTTTATCCATCGATTTGTTTTATCGGTTGTGACCTTTCGAACCTACCCTCCCCTCTCTCTCCCCCCTCCCTATCTTTTTTTTTTTTTTTTTGGTTTTTTTTGTTTTTTATTATTCTTGTTGTCTCTCTCTCTTTTTTTTCTTTTTTATTCTTTTTTTTAACTTCCTTGTTATGATTGTTTTGTGTGTGTGCGCGTTGCGATAAGGTTAGTTTGGTTGTTGGTGTTTGTTTTTCTAATCGAATAAACCTTTTCGGAGTCGATGTGATACTTCATAACCACCTTGTCATTTCTTTGTAAAAATTGTTTGTTGTCTTGTCGTGATCATACAAAAATATCGTGGCATGTTTGGGTTTTTTTGTTTTCCTCATCATGTTTAACTTCTTCAGAAGTTTTCTGTGCTTTTCATCATGTTTGTGCATTTTTATGTTTTTTTTTTTTTTTG